GTACTGGGTGGCGCGGGACGCATGTAGTTACAACCACTGGAGTATTCGGTGGAGCTTCCTGTGGGGCACCAACCCCGTACTGGGTGGCGTGGGGCGCGTGTGGTCACAGCCACTGAGGCCTTCGGTGGAGCTCCCGATGGGGCCAAGAAGCACCGCTCTGTGTGGCGCGGGACGCATGTGGTCACAACCACTGGAGCCTTTGGTGGAGCTCCATATGGGGCCACGAAACGAACTACTGGGTGGCGCAGGACGCATGTGGACACAGTCCCTGCGGCTTTCGGTGGAGCTCTGTATGTGGCCCCGAAGCGCCGTGATGGGTAGCGCGGGACGCATGTGGTCACAGCCACTGGGACCTTCGGTGAAGCTCCCCATGGGGCCCCGAAGCGCCGTTCTGGGTGTCGCGGGACGCATGTGGTCACAGCCACTGGGGCCTTCGGTGGAGCTCCCTATGGGGCCACGAAACGCCGTACTGGGTGGTGCGGGGCGCATGTGGTCACATCCGCTGGGGCCTTCGGTAGAGATCCCGATTGGGACAAGAAGCGCCGTACTGGGTGGCGCGGGACGCATGTGGTCACAGCCACTGGAGCTTTCGGTGGAGCTCGGGGCAACGAAGCGCTGTACTGGATGGCGCGGGACGCATGTGGTCACAGCCACTGGGGCCTTCGGCGGAGCTCCCTATAGGGCCACGGAGCGTTGGACTGGGTGCGCTGACATGGTGGACATGCAGAGGGCATAGGCAAAGGTGGGAGTTGGGGGAAGGTGGAGGAGAAGGAGGAACGCCCAGCGCTCTCCCTTCGAAACGAGGACCCAGCACCACAGGATGGTTGGGAAAAATGGTACATACCAGAGAATGAAAGCCTGCATGGAAGAAACCATACACGGGAGGGACAGTCGACTCCCCGGCCATCTTCGGGGGAGAAAGGGAGCACTCATCTTGAATAGTTCTGGAGGGGTAACTGGGATATGGCGACCCCAATCCCCGACTTTGTGGGGATCCGACCGGACACCCACTTGAACACAACTCAGAATACGCGATGAGAGGCGTCCATCCTCGATAGGGGTGCGTCCGACTAGCCGCCCTGGTGTGCATGTATCATCGAGTTCCCTTTCTTTTCTAAGCTACACTTGTACTGGAGAGAACTCTTTGGTTGGAGGGCGAGAAATCCCCAGCGACAGGAAGGAGGAAGGGGAGGGACGAGCAAAATTAAGCCGACGCTGAAAGCATCAGACTGGACGTTGCACACGGTCATGGGTCGAATCGCCACGCAGCCGACAATACAATCAGAGGAGCAGCGCAAATCAAAAACTCGACTTCGGCATGTATCACATGCGCTTGTTGCGCAATGCTGTGACAGCAAGTCATGGTCTACGTTGTGCTGCGTTTCATCCTTTTCCTCCTCCCTCCCCTCGTGTATCCATCCATCCCCCCTCCCTCCTCGTCCTCCTCCTTCCGCCCCCTTCCTCCTCCTCCTCCTCCTCCTCCTCCTCCTCCTCCTCCTCCTCCTCCTCCTCCTCCTCCTCCTCCTCCTCCTCCTTTTTCCTGCCTTCTCCAGCATCCTGCTTCTCCTCTCCTGTTCCATCGTCATTCCTCGGTCGTGCCTCCCCCCCCTGCTCCCACCTCGAGGCCCTGGGCCTGGGGGAACGGCGGCGGGCGCAAGCTCGACATTTCTGGCGGATCGCTACGCGAAGATAGCTGCGCGGATGTTGGGACGCAGGGAAACATGCCAGTACTACGCGCCCTCCTCGGAAGCGCCTGTCCGACCCGAACATATAACACACCCAGACTGTAATATATCGCGTCCCGAGCGGCATGGCCAGAAAACGCCCGCCACGTCTCTGATACCATACATTTTCCCGGCACGCGCGTCGGTCTTGGAGGGGGAGGGGGCGAAGCAGCGTTAGCATGCCATGGCGACGCCGAGATGCATCAAACCCCTGACCCTCACTTGTTTAGCCTCGGCTGCGGCAGCCCGTAGCCGTGCCAATTCTTTCATGAAGCTTGCAACTTCCGTTTGGCTTGTCTCTGTTGGCAGCGACACGAAGACCCGTCTTTGTCCACGCACATAGCTACGTTCGCAGAATTCGCCGACCACGCGATGGATACCCTTTCGGCACCCACACGCGTGAAAACAAAAAACACAACAACAAAAAGGAAGCAAAACAGAAAAACGTACGACATTCGTACGCGCCAAACACACGTTGGACACCCCGCTTCGCGAACGTGCCCAGCGCGCGCAGCATGCGCCAACCACATGTTGGATACTCGCCTGCATACTTCTGTTTGTGTTTACAAAATACAAAAACACGTTTTTTCAGATTTCCCATGTATTCGTGTAACGGAACATCCCGAACGCGCAAGCGCCAGACGCATGTTTGATAATGGCAGCTTGTGTTCGGTAAATGGTTTCCCTGCTCAGGCGAAACGCGGGGCACGCCTGCCAATTGGAAGAACACCACAGCGGCGCCGGCGATTCACGCCGACACCCGGCCGACAGCTGCAGGGCGAGAGGCGCGACGCAAGCGGCGCCGCTTCCGCGGATGGGGGGCAGCAGCGCCCCTGCTGCAGCGGGGCTTTGGCCCCTAATGGCCCTAATGGCCAAAAACAACAGAAAAAAAAGGAGGCGGGAGGAAGAGGCGCCTCCGCTGGCGGGCGGTGCTGGCGTAGCTACAAGCCGACAAGAAATGAGGGTGGAGGAGCGGCAGAGGCGGGCAGCAAGTGTTCCCAATTTTCCTTCTCCACCCTTCCCCCTCCCTCCAGTGCAATATGTCTCACGACGCCGACGGCGACGGCGACGACGACGACAACGCTGGCGACGAAGACGACGACGAAGAAGAAGAAGACGGCGATGGCGACGGCGACGGCGGCGACAACGGCGACGACAATGGCGACGACGACGACGATGACCGCGACAACGACGACAACGACGACCACGACGACGACGACGACGCTGGCGACGACGCGAAGTCGACGACGACGACAATGGAGACGACGACGACGACGATGACGACGACAACGACGACAACGACGACCACGACAACGACGACGACGATGACGACGACGACGACGACGCAACGACGACGACGACGACGACGACGACGACGGCCCGCCGTAGTCGACGACGGCGACAACAACGACGACGACGACGACCGATGACGGACGACCGACGACGATGACGAACGACGACGCGACGACGACGGTGATGGCGACGACGACGACTGTGGCACGTCAGTAATCAGCCTGATAGAGGGGGTAATACTTCGCCTCGGATGTATGCCATCCCTACACGAAAAAACAATCGTTTTGATGCTACCGTGCAGTGGGGTACACAATCCCTCGGCGGCGCCCGCGACGACCTGGCGCGCGTGATTACGTAGCACCCCACAATTGCGGATAAGAGTTAGGGGGCGGGCGCGGGCGACGCGGGCGTCGAGCTGGCGGACCTCGTGGCCCTCACCTTCCCTGTCGATGGCGCCCTCCTCCTCCTCCTCCTCCTGATCCTGCTCCTCCTCCTCCTCCTCCTCCTCTTCCTCGTCCGCGTCCTCGTCCTCATCGTCGTCGTCGTGCTCTGACAAGTTCAGCGCGGGGGGGGGTCGCTGGTGGGCCACCCGGAACGAATGCAAAAACACCCGCCGCAGGCGCCGAATGTTTGGCTTGTTCAGTGAACGTAGTTTGGGTCGCGGGTGGGTCGCAGGCTCTCCACCTCTACCTGGAAGGAATTCAAAAACAGCCCGCCGCAGGCGCCGAAAATTTAGATTTGTACACTGAACGCGGTTTGGCTCGCAGGTTCTCCACCTGGAACGAATGCAAAAGAAACCCGCCGCAAGCGCCGAAGCTTTGGCTTGTTCAGTGAACGTAGTTTGGGTCGCGAGTGGATCAAGGGCTCTCCACCTCCACATTGAAGGAATTCAAAAACAGCCCGCCGCAGGCGCCGAAAATTTTGACTTGTACACTGAACGCGGTTTGGGTTGCGGGTGGGTCGCAGGGGTCGCAGGTTCTCCACTTGGAACGAATGTACAATAAGCCCGCCGCAGGCGCCGAAAATTTTGGGTGGGTCGCGGGGTGGGTCGCGGGTGGGTCACGGGGTGGGTCGCGGGTGGGTCGCGGGTGGGTCGCCGGTGTGTCGCGGGTGGGTCGCCGGGGGGGTCTCGGGGTGGGTCTCGGGCGGGTCGCTGGGTGGGTCGCGGGTGGGTCGCGGGTGGGTCGCGGGTGGGTCGCGGGGTGGGTCGCGGGTGGGTCGCGGGATGGGTCGCGGGTGGGTCGCGGGTGGGTCGCGGTGGGTCGCGGGTGGGTCGCGGGTGGGGCGACGACAACAAACAACAAACAACAAACAACAGCAACAGCAGCAGCAACAACAACATCAAGAAGAATCCGCATCGCGGAATTCCACTTCAGCCACGCACCCAGGGACAGTGAATGAGCGTTCGGTTCAGCCCCCTCACTCTGATAAACATAAACATGTGGCGCGCCCCGCGGGGTCCGTTGATCAGCCTTGGCGGGAGGGGGGATGGCATCCTTTATTAATCTCAAGCTGACACGACCCCCTCTGCCCATGCATCTTCACACACAAGGAATCCGACGCCACCTGCTCGACACCCCATCCAGTCTAGAGCCAAAGGCCGCCCACCGAGAGAGAACCCTGAATTGGAGCCCTTGAGCCCTTTACCGGGAAAAAGATTGGTCCGTGCTGTCCAGTCTACGCTCTGTCTCATCATCCCAGGGGGAGGGAGGAACGAGCGAGGGAAGGAGAAGAGACGAGGGAGGAGGGAGGAGGGGGAGGGAGGAGGGAGGAGAGCTGCACGGTGCTAAGAAGTTGTTGTACGCAGGCTGGGGCTATGGCGGGTGCCCCTCTTACGACGACCGCGACGAGGACGACGACAACGACGACGAGGGCGACGATAACGACGACGGCGACGGCGACAGCAACGGCAACGGCAACAGCAGAGGCGACGACGGCGAAGGCGAAGACGACGACGGCGGCAATCTGCATCCCCCCGGCGTCCACGTGCAACGAGCCGCAGGTGGCGCTGCCAACCGGGGTCATGGCCGTCTCCAGGGTCTGGGACCTGGCGGGAGAGAGCGGCGACGAGCGAGGGGGGCAGGGGGCCACACGCGAGCCCTACCCCTACCCCCCACGATTTCTGATGGGGAAGGGTGTGGTTCACTTCGTTCGGGAGCTCCCGAGCGAAGGGAACCCCACCCTCCCCCTCAGAAATCGTGGGGGGTAGGGGTCGGGTTCACATGTGGCCCCCTGGGGGGGGGAGTGAGGAGGAGGAGGCCAGGAGGCCTTCTCAGAAGGCGGCAGGGCTCCTCAGAGGCCCTCCGGCCTTCTGAGAGGTTCGCCGCGTCTTCGGGGAAGGCTCTGAAAAGCTTCTCGGAAGGCATCTGGTCTTCTCAGCTCGCACCTTCTCCTTCACCCCCCCAGGCTCGCGGCCGAAAAGGGGAGGAAGGATCATCGTTGGATCATCGGCAAGAGCAATGTGGTCAAAGACACCACTCAACCTCAGCAGCGGGCGCGAGGACGGCATTGACAGCGTCGACCAGGCGCTGCCTTGCCAGGCCTCGCTTGGCGATAACGCTGTCGGCCCGGAGCGGATCGGAGGCCGGCTGCCCAGGCTTGGACGAGGTCCTCAGCACCAGCCGGCCGCAAAGCCGCTGCGATCGCGATCGACGAGCCAGCGCTGGCCACTCAAGGCATGATGGGTTCCGACAGCCCGGAGCTCAAACATACTGTCGTCTCCTGGGGGCGCATGTTCCACTTCCGGCGGCCTCCCGTGGCCTTCCGCAGCCCTCCTCTGGCGGAGCCGACCCCGATTTTTACCTCCGCCGCCCGCCGCAGGCCTTCCGCCGAGGAGGAGATACAAACTTTCTCGATCCCTCGAAGACGAGGCCCCGTTCTGGAGCGTCTCGCGTCCGCGAGGGCCTCGCGCACCTTGCGGCCCTGGACCTTGCGCGTCTGCTCAGGCGCCGGGAGGATGGCATCGATTACACAATTGATTCACCCCAGAATCCGGATTCCCGTCGAATCTACCGACAAGACGTAGACTGCGCCTAGATCCACGAACACTCTGCGCATGTTCCTAGCTCCGACGGAATCTTCCGTTGCGGGGCCAATCGATTCTGCAGCTGACCTCCTGCTCGGGCTGTGGAGGGCGGAGAGGCCGGGCCGTCCGCGGCCGGGGCCTCGCGGCGGGCACCGCGGGCCAGCGCCCCGAAGGCGGCCAGGCACAGCCCTGGCCACCCCAACGGGCCACGAGGCCCTCGGGACCCCAGCACCCGACCGCGACGAGGAGCGAGACCGCCTGCTGTGCCTCCGCCCCGACGCTCGCAGCGGCAAGCCCCACCACGACCGGCCGGTCGCCCGCGCAAGGTCGCGCGTGAGCGCCCTGGCCTCCAGCGTGGCGTGCCGCGCCGGCGCCCGCGGAGGCCGCCGTGCCGGGTCGCCGTGGTGCCGACTCGCGCATACGACCCACTTCTGCTGGCCGTCGCTGACCAGCCTGGGACATATCCCTATCCCTATGCTGGGCACCTCCTCATCACGATGCCAATCTCAGGGGTTCCCTTATTTTTTGAGGGCGAATCCCTAAGATTGTCATCGAGTTTTGGCGTGTCAATCTTAGGGATAGGGATACGTTCGAGGCTGGTAAGTCGCCCACATGGATGCTCGAGGCAGCGCCGGCCCGCGGCGGGCGCCCCCCGCGACCCGAGCTCCGCGGGCCTTCGGCGGCTCGCACGCGACGCGCGCCGCCCTCTCCAAGCCAGCGAGGGCGGCAAAGGGCGCGCCTTGGGCCTCTGGGGTGGGGGGGAGGAGGAGGAGGAGGAGGAGGAGGAGGAGGAGGAGGAGAGGAGGAGGAGGAGGAGGAGGAGGAGGAAGGAGGAGGGAGGAGGGGGAGGAGGAGGAGGAGAGGAAGAGGAGGAGGAGGAGGAGGAGGACGACGAGGAGGAGGAGGAGGAGGAGGAGGGGGAGGAGGAGGGGAAGGAGGAGGAGGAGGCGCCGCACGGAGTCTGGGCCTGGGCGCCGCCAGCTGCGCGAGCCGCGGCCGCGACGGCGGGGCTCCCCACGGCACGCGGGCGGGCCGGCGTGGCCGTCGAATATGCCTCTGGCGGCGCCTGCGCGCGGTGCCCGCCTTCTCGCACAAACAGATTACAGGGCAGTTTTTAATACATGGGACTAACAGAAGATGTTTTTTAACGAAAAATGATTAATTTATGAATGAATGTATGCATGAACTCATCGTTGTTTTTAATACTAAATCCCTGCATGTTTTAATACATGATCCGCACGCACGCGGAGCATGTATGAAAAACGGCACTGTACACCATTACACCAGAGAGGGCCAATTTTGAACGCCCGAAATGGGTGCGGAAAAGATGGGTACAATGCCCAACAGCAAATGTCGTCCCAAACCAACAGCGGCCGCTGTTGGGCAGGCGGCCTTCTGTCTCGGATGGACACAGGCCACGGCGGCGCGGACAGCGACTCCTGTTCAAAATGAGTAGGTATTGCTGTTGGGCATTCTACCCATTCTCTCCGTACCCATGTCGTTCGTGCCGACCAATCAGCGGATGGTTTGAAACGGGATCGATAAAGAGATCGATAAAGAGATCGACTGGGAACTCGGGAACCCGGAACCCACCGAAGCCGGCCCGGAACCACTGACCAGGAACCCAGGAACCCAGAACCGGGAACCCAGGAACCCAGCCGGCCACCAAGATCGGCGGGAAACTTTTTCCCAAATCTTTCAATTTTCCGCAAGAGACCCCTTCAGTGCAAGCACTGATTGGGGAAATTCAAAATGCAACCAACAGGTCTCCTCCGACGCACAAACGAGCACATGTTCACTCGCTGCGTCGCTGTCCCACACCGCCCAAAAACTAGCCAAACCGCGCACCCACAAGCACCATTCAAGTTGCAACCGACATGCCCCCCCCCCGAAATACACTCGCATCTACCTACGGACACATTAAGCAAACGCACGGGCGGGCACACGCAAGAATAAACCGTAAGGGCGCAAATGCATCCAATACCGTTCACGCAGCTAGCCACATGCACATGCAGTCATGAACGCACCCCGGAGCAAGAACATGTGCTACAATTGATAGTGGTAAATGATCACACGTGCGAAAGAACTCACGAAAAGGAGAGGTCGAGGATTGGAATAGGGAGGGAAACGGGACAAACTCCACTGAGCAGGACGGCGATGAAACGACGGAAAGATGCATGGGGCGAAAGGGGGAAAGAAGGGAAGGAAGACGGAAGGAGAGAAAGATACAATTCTTCGAATAAAAAAAAGAAAGAATAGCGGAAAACGAAATGAAGGAGGAGCGGAAAACAGGATGGATGGAGGGCAGTCGGGGGCACTCCCCATCATCATGGGTACAAAATGAGGGTGGAAAGTCCGCGGCATGAGGAGGGTGCGGATGATAATGAAAACGACGCAGCCCCCGAATGTGCCCACTCCAAGCTTGTGTCAGCGAAATACATACATGCATGTGTGTATGCGCGTGGACCCCAAAGAGTCTGTTTCTAGCAACATAGTCAGTGCTGTCTATGTGGGGTCATTTATGTGGTGCCGCCCAAGTGGTGCACTATATGCGGTGCGACCGATTGGTGCAATCTACGTCGTGCGAATTATGGTGTGCAACGGTTCCATGTTGTGTACTCTTTGGTGTGCGGAGTATTCGCGGTGCACTCCATAATGTGCAGTATATGCTGTGCTATTTATGGCGTGTGAAGTACACGCGGTGCCATATGTGTGGCGCTATTGAATGTATTTCCCTCGCGCGTGACCACCTTTCATTCTCGCGCAATCATCCCATCCACCTACCAACGCGGGAGTTTTCAAAACCCACGCGGCGGCGATTGCGATGGCTGGTTAGCGCTGGTTGGTGCGACGCTGCGGCCGCGCAAACGCGCGCAAGCTCGCGCGCAGAGCGGCCTCCGAGCCTGGCGCGACCGACGCGGCCGCGGCGGCGGGGACCGTTGGGAATTTCCTCGCGCGTCTCGCAGGCCGCGCTGACGCGCGGGCACCTCAGTGCGAGTCGGTGACTCGGGCGGGGGGGGTAATCATGGCGACATCGACAAAGGGAAGGCACGACGATGATAGAAGCAATGCTGGCGACGATGATGACAGCGACGACGGCATAGGCATGACGGCGCCGATGCTGATCGCGCCGATGACAAAATGGTGTCCTCGCGTCGGTGATGAAGGTTTTGTTCGGCAAGCGCGCGCGGTCGACGCGCGCGAGTGGCCAGCATGGTGCCATTTGACAAGGACCGCGCCCCCCAGCACACGCGGAAGGGTGTTCGAATGATTTCGACCCGCACGCGCGCGAGGGGCAGGTCCGCTAGCATGTGATGAACAGGTTGGAGAGAAAGACTACCACGTGCATGAGAATTCGCAGGAGCGCAAGTGCAAGCTTGTGCTGGGAATTACAATTGCTATACCGTTGGTTCTGAAGATGCACCCGGGACACTCAATTTGGGAAGCGGGACCCTTCCGACACCAGGAGTGTTTGATATGCGCGTGCGACGTGCGCACCTCGTCCTTATGTCAGCAGTGGATGGTTGCGGCAGCACGCGCGCAAGGGGCGCCCAAATTGATTTCGACATGCGCGCGCGGCGGGCATGTTTGGTCGCATGCGATGAACGTGTTTGAGAACTGTTGGCTTAGCACTCGCAAGAGCGCGAGCGCAGCCTGCTCTGAAAGTTCTGGTTGCAAGACCATGAGATTTGAATGTGTTCGGGACACTCGATTTTGAAAACTTTCCTTCAAAACCAAGCGTTGCGATATGTCGGCACGCGCGCGCGACAACGCGCGCGTGTGCACTTCGTCCCTTCTGTTGCAAGGGATCCTTGAAAAACTCGTCGAAGATGAAGAAGTGCGCGCGAGAAGTTGTGTAAATATGCGTTTCGCGAGGGATGAGAGGGGGGCGATTCCGGCCTGGCTGGGATGGTGTGACTTCATATGTACCATGAACGAAGGGCGGAATCATAGGTAAATTGCACATGCCCCAAGGGACGCGGAGAACTCCGGCCTCGGGACAGCTCATTTGGTGCAGTAAATGTGATGCCATTTGCGTGGTGCAGTCCATGCGATGCGATCTATGTGGCGCGATTGGCTTTTACTTCCTCGCGCGTGACCACCTCTCATGCTCGCGCGACCATCCAATCCACCTACCTACAATTCAGATTCCAGAGCCATATGTGTGGCGCAATTGAATGTAGTTTCCTCGCGCGTGAATGTATTTTCCTTGCGCAATCATCCCATCCACCTGCCTACAATTCAGATTCCAGAGCCCATGCGGCGGCGAGGCTCGCGCGCAGAGCGGCCAGCGAGCCTGGCGCGACCGACGCGGCCGCGGCGGCGGGGACCGCTGGGAACTTCCCAAAGAGTCTGGCAGGCCGCGCTGACGCGCAGGCGCATCAGGGTGAGTCGGTGCCTCAGGCGGGCGCGGTATCATGGCGACGTCGACAAGGGCAGACACAATGATGATAAAAGCGATGCTGGCTACGATGATGACAGTGACGACAGCAAGGGCAATGACGGCACCGATGCTGATCACATCGATGACGCTGGTGTCCTCTCGTCGGCGATGAAGGTTGTGTAAGGATTCCGGCATGCGCCGCGAGTGGCCAGCATGTTATGTGACAACGATCGTGCCCCCACAACACGCGCGCAAGGGCGTTCGAATGATTCCGACATGCGTGCGCGAGAGGCACGTTTGGTAGCACTTGATGAGCACATTAAACAAAAAAAATGGTTTTCTTAAAAATCCGCAAGAGCAAAAGCGCAGGCCTGCTTGCAATTGCTTACTGCGATGCAACTTGTCTGTATGTTTCCGGGACACTATATCTCGAAAGCCTTGCGAAACCTACAAAGCTTGAAGGATTCCGCCAAACGCGCGCGACCACGCGCGCATGTGCACTTCGTCCCTACTTTTGCAAGAAATTATTGCGACTGCACTCGCGCAAGGGCGTTCGAATGTTTCCGACATGCGCGCGAAGATCGCACCTGGCCGCATCTGATGAACATGTTGTAAATTCGATGGCTGTCCGTAGAAGTCGCAAAAGCGCGAGCGCAACCAATGTTTTTAAATAAAAAGTCTGTGTCTGGGACGCTCGATTTTGGAATCCTTACGGAACCTAACGTGTTAGGAGGATTTTGCAACGGATTATCGCGACAGCACGCGCGCAAGGGGCGCCCGAATGATTTCGACTTTCCATAGGGTTCGCAAGAGCGCGAGCGCAGGATGTTTTGAAAAATATGTTTGCGAAACCGTTGCTGCTTTGTATGTGTTCGGGAAGCTCGGCTCCGAAATCCCTTCAAACCTAGAAAGTTTGAAAATGATTTCGGCATGCGCGCGCGCGACGAGCGGCGACGGGGTGGCGACGGCGGCAATGAGCCGCCAGACCGGACGTCAGGCTCAGACGACGGGCGGCGACGAGGCGGCAATAGGGCGGCGACGGCGACAACATAGCCACCAGACCGAACGCCAGGCCCAATTCCTTATTCCACAAGTAAGAACCCTAAGTGCAAACACTGTGAGGGAAAAGTATGTATGGATGTATGTATGTATGTATACATACATACGCAAAACGATGTATACAAATGTATAGACATATCTGTATATGTATATATATATGTGTGTGTCTACACGCACACCAAAAAATACGCATCCTCGTAGAAACCGGACACGTTGGAAAACCCAGTGTGCCGGCAACGAGCGTCGCAGCAAACGCCATGCAAGCGCTTCCGGCTGAACCCAGTTACACCTAGTTGCACCTAGTTACGCCTAGTTACCCTAGTTACCCGAGTTACCCGAGTTCACCCTAGTTGCCCGAGTTACCCTAGTTGCACCTAGTTACGCCTAGTTACCCTAGTTACCCGAGTTGCCCGAGTTCACCCTAGTTACCCGAGTTACCCGAGTTCACCTCAGTTACCCTAGTTACCCGAGTTCACCTCAGTTACACAGTTACCCTAGTTACCCTGGGTCCGCAGACATCCCACCCAATGTACAACCCTAAGGGGTAAATTCTGCACGCGCACAATAATTTTGTACAGAATTGTCTCTGGCTTCTGGCGCCCCGCGTATGCGAGACCTCGACCATCCGACCCTCGATCCATTTCAAAACCTCGAGAGTAATTAGATATTCGCCAACATCTCAATTCTCGGATCTCGTTGGCCTCGATCCTCGAAGTCCACCTTGGCCTAGATCTAAGTCTTGCACCGCGACGATATCCGAACTTGCCCAAAAACAACAGAAGGGAATTTCTGTACAAAACGACCTTTTTGTACAGAATTTCCCCTGTTATCGTTATCGCCACCGCGGTCGTCGTCATCGTCATTGTCGTCATCATCACCGTCATAATCGCCAACATCACAATCAGCCTCATCATCATCATCACCGCCGTCATCATCATCATCATGATCGTCGCCACCGTTCACAATCAGCCTCATCATCATTACCGTCATCATCATCATCACATCATCATCATCATGATCGTCGCTGCCGTCGTTGTCGTAAGCATCGTCGTCGGCATCATCATCACAAATGTCACCACGTCGTCATCATCAGCATCATCATCATCATCATTGTCGTCGTCATCATCATCACCATCACCATCATCATCCTCATCGTCATTATTTTTCCCCCATCCATGCGGAGGGCCTCCAAGACCTCCGACGGCGCTCAATGATCCGATCGCTGCTCTGTGCAGATGGTTTTTGATCGCTATCGTTTTCATCATCATCATCGTCGTCGTCATCATCATCATCATCATCACTCTAACCCCTCCTTCCCACCTCCCTTTTCCCTTCCCCTCCGTCCTCCTCCCCCCAACCCGCACCCCGAGCCTGCTTTCATCCTTTCCCCCGCTCCCCAACGAACCACCAGCGGGTCCGTGCCACAAGTACTTCCGCTCAGACGCAAATTACCCCGCGCGTTTGTATCTTCAGGCCACCCGGAGGAGCGTCAGTGACAAAGGAAGGTAGCATCATAGCGGCCACGGTCCACTTCATCCCCACTAATGCGTGCCCGTTCGTTTCGTTTTTTGTTCGGCGCTGTCGCCTGGGATAGGGATAGCAGAAATGGGCCCGCATAGTTGCATATGGCATTGCTCCCACTTGCCGCCTGGGAGGGCCTACGGCGAGCACGACGATGACGACGACGATGACAATGACGAGGGGGTAGGACGAGGTAAGAGGGAGTGGGAGGATACGGATAGATGTAGAGGTAGGAGGAAGTAGGAGAAGGCAGGAATTTGTAGGAGGAGATAATTCGGATGAGGGGACAGGGGAAGGCAGGGAAGGCTCGGAAGAGGTAATTAGGAGGGGGCAGGAAAAGAGGAGGACGAAGGGAGGGGGAGAGGAGGCAGAACCAGAAAGGAGGCGGAGCAACGAGGAATGATTATGCAAGACGGGGGGACATGCGGGGACGAAGGAAGGTGTTGACAACGGGCGCCCGAAGTCACACTCAGTTTCCCCTGAGTTCCCCCAGCTTCTTGCATCGGGAGGAGAAAACAAAACTGAGGTTAACTGGGTTAATGAGGGGGCGAAGGAAGGTGTTGACAACGGGGCGCCCGCTGTTACACTCAGATTAACCCCAGTTTCCGCCTCAGTTCCTTGCATCAGGGGATAACGCAGTTAACTGGGGTGAACAGAGGCTAACATATGGTAATTGAGCTTCACGGTGGCTCACTGTGGTTATCTGAAGTGAACTGAGGTGAACTGAGGTTACTGAGGTTAACTGAGGTTAACTGAGGTTAACTGAGGTTACTGAGGGTAACTGAGGTTAACTGAGGTTAACTGAGGTTACTGAGGTTAACTGAGGTTACTGAGGTGAACTGAGGTTACTGAGGTGAACTGAGGTTACTGAGGTGAACTGAGGTTACTGAGGTTAACTGAGGTGAACTGAGGTTACTGAGGTTACTGAGGTGAACTGAGGTTACTGAGGCCGTCTCCGACCGACGCCGCGCGCGGCCACAATGGGAAAACCAATGCGCGCGGCGAAAAGAGGAGATCCACGTTTCGGAAAGCATCCGCCCTGCATCCGTGTAGCTCCTGCACAATCGACGGATGTGCGCGGAGCTCTGACGAAAAATAGTTTGGAAGCCATTCGCCCTCCACCCGTGTAGATGCTGGAAGCTCAAACTTGCGATCACGAATGCCGAAGAAAAATCTGCAGCGAAACGCCCAGGCCACCGCACTGACAAGTCTTGTGGTGCGCAGATGACGGGAACAAGCATGGAGGACGAGAAGGAGACGGAGGAGGAGGAACACGAAAAAGAGGAGGAGGAAGAATGTCGTCGGCGTCAAAGCCAAATCCGTTCAAAATCTGTCCCCGGGCCCCTCACGCGGCTTGTCCTGGCTGGATCTTAACCATCGATACCGGTGTTTCACAGCCCCCAGGGCCCGAAACGAACCTCGAGAGGCCAAGACAAAGATCAACAACGACGACGACGACGAGAACAACGACGACGACGACAACGACGACGACGACGACGACCCACGAACTCCGACGTCGACAACGACGACGACGACAGCGGCGACGGCCCCCGTCGTGACCGCAGTGTCTCCGCCCGCCTCGAGGACCGCCGATGGTAATACTGGACGTCGTCATCGTCGGTGTCCGAGGTGTCCAACTCAATCTCGCGACCGCGGCGTTGGATCGATCCCGTCCTCGTCGACGTCCCTGCTCCTCTGCCCGTTGCTGTTCTTGCCCGTCCTTGTCCTCTTCCTCCTCCTCATGATCCTCCTGTCCCCGCGGAGAGAGAAGCCATGAGCTGTCCAGACACGTGCGTAAGCCACCCCCTGAAACCTTTCCTTCTCGAGGCAGCTGTTGATATCTGTCGATGGTACCTTTCTCACGTCGGATCCCAATGAGTTCTTCTGAACCGAAGCGGTATCCCGGATGAAAATTTGGCCGGGCCCGATAGTAACGCACCCCCGCATGCTGAGGACGACGGAAAAGCTGCCTATAGAGGAAAGGGACGACCCCATGGAACCTTTGACCTAAGGCCAGATCTCGACGCGACTCTGAAGACATGTGGGTACAGCACTCATCCATGGCATCGCGCAAAATTGGACTGCCTGTAGGTGCTTGACGAATCGCACGTAAGTGTGGCATTGGCTCCTGCACGCCAGGCATATCGTGCCTTGTGCCCACATGCACTTCGTGGCGCTTGCACAGGTTGGTGTAATACGCGCTCTTCCTGAAGCAGGTGGCCCCACACCTGTAGCACATAAAATTGGGCTTCGGGGGTGGTGGGGGCATTCGGGACCGGGGGCACGTCGTCAGTGTTTCGACACGTCTCGAGCTCCTGGCACAATCTTGCCTGGCATGCCCGATCCTGCTGTCGATCGAAGGTATCGCCTTGCAGCCTTCTTGATTTTGGTTCGGAAACGCACTGGTTCATCTCGAACAGCGAATACGATCTCATTCAGGTCGACTGTTGGTATCAGCTGCCCCTCGCGGCTGATGCGGCTGCAGGGGCTACTCACCGTCCTCGACAGCAATCGCCGCCCAATTTGTAGTATATTGCGCGCCGTTTGCGAGTAATAATCTTAAGGAAAGCAGGACCGTGTCGTAGGAGCAGTTGAAAGCACTGTGGTATCCGTGTTCGTCTTGCAAGGTCAGGAGGCAATCGGTTGGCCTCGCTGAGTAGCTGAAAATTCGCGGCACGCCCCGTCTTGTCGTAGCTGGCATGGTAGCCGGCGGCCCGCCTGTAGACCTTCATGTACTTCAATGAACAACTGTCGCCGCGGTTCGTTGCGCGATGGCGCGGACAGGACAAGCGAGCCGTTGCAGGGTATTTTCTCGAGTGCTTGTACGCTTTTCTCTGGAGCATCTGCTTTCGCAGCGGCCCCCGACTGACCGCGGCCTCTTCTTGGCCCTCTTCTTGGGCTCGGGGCCCACGGCGCCTCTGGACGTGATCGCTGTCCCCAGCGCCGTCGGTGAATTGGCGAGCTCGGCGGCCTGGCCGGAGCAGGCGCCGCCCGCGTCTGCGGCCCCGCCCCTCGCAAGCAGGTCATTGGCTGTTCTGGGGCCGCGGCCGGAGAGTGGGAGAGCGAACTCGGCCCTCTGAGCGCCGGGGCGCGCGCTGCGAGCGCGACCCCTGGACTCGACTATCAACAGCGCGGCGGCCGCTGCAGAGGCTGCCCCCGCCCGCGCCGCGGCGGCGCACGCGGCGGCGGGGTCGTCTTCAGACGAGGCGCCAGCGAAAGGGGCGCCTCCGCCCTGCCAGAGCTCAGGCCGTCGCCCGCGCGCGAGGTCGGCCCGCCGGTCGCCGCGGGCCCGCGCGGTCGGCCATGTCTTCGGAGATCGCGCCGGCAATGATTGCGACGGCTACGTTGAAAGAAACGTCGATTATAAATGCTTCGGGCCTGGTTCCTGGACTCGGTTGCGACGGTCGCATGGGCCCTCGCGCGGCGCCCCAGAGGTCGGCATGGGCGCCGCGCGCAAGCACTACCAGGTGCTCGACGTCGATGTCGCCGCCAATGCAAAGCGCCCCACGCACCGCGTCCTCGAGCATCGGTAGCATAGGTTCTGGCATGCCCCTGGCGACGAGAACGCCCCATCGGCTCCTGCTCGCCCGCGGGCAGCTTGCAGGGGAACTTTGACGCGACGGCGCGGAGGGCGCTCAAGGTGCAGGAATAGAAACGCACCGCTGTCGCCTCGGTTGTTCACGGCGGCGACGCACGCGAGGGCCGCGCGGGCTACGAAATCGGCGCCCCTGCGAGATCGCGCGTCACAACGTGCATCTCGCTGCAGAGAGGCGGTGGCCTGCTTGAGCTTCGCACGTAGGAATATGCGATAGTGCATGGCCGCGACGCGATTGGGTAGCATCATTCGCACATCAGCAGGTCGCGTTTTTAGCGCATGAAGCTGCCATCCGCCCTGGAAGAGAAGCCCCGCTGTTGCCTGCGCATTGGTCAGAAGCGGGGGATGCACGCGCGGCACACGCCGACGGTGATGTTGTTCAGGCCGCCTTGTATTTTCTGCTCGGCATCGTGGGGGCTGGTCTCCAGCTCGTTCTTGGTGGTGATGTTGGCGACCAGAGCACGGATGGATATTGCTGCCTTGGCGTCGTCGCATGGGTTGGCGATCCCCTCCCGCGCGCGGACTACAGCGCGTCAACGGCGGAGAGATCAAATTATGCGTCCGCTTGCGCCTCCTCGCATGAAATTGGTTTCCCGTCGGAGACGATAGCGCAACTGCGCTCTTCAATAATCTGCAAAGGTGGTCGAATAACTTTGTGACTCCCTGACACTCCGCTTTAGTGTCCTCGTTCTCGGTCGCTTCGTCGACTTCCACGGCGGAATGGGTCTAGAATTGGCCCATGTCCTCACGGACGCGCGCAACCAGTTGTCGCTTGGACAGGCGTGGGAAGGCCATGGGGACCAAGTACAGCTCGTCGTCCTCGGCATGAAAGTGCACCGCCCGCAGACCTGCGCTGGCCAAATTGAACAAGGTGGTCGGGTCGCCCATGATATGGGTAGCTGGAACCACTGGCATGGTCGATACCATGAGCTGGTAGGCCAGCTTGGCAGTCGCAACCCTTGTCGTTGTGGAGTATGGGTCGCCCCACCTGGCTCGACGGGGGGGGTGACTGGCATGCTCAGCGCACTCTTAGCAATGCGAATGTCCTCTCTGCGGTGTCGGGCTTGCGCGCACTCGCGCTGGCTGCCCGCGCGGTTGCTCGGCCGCCCCCCTGACGTTGTAGCTAAGCTGGCACGCGCGCTCCCGGGCGCAACGGCCGATTCGACTAGCTCGGTCGCGCCGAGCGACTGCTGTGGCGCATCTTGATTTCCAACGTTTGCAACGCGCGCGGAGTCATGCCTGCGCGCAGACCGATTCGCGCGGCATGGGACATTGCTACGCGTGTCTGGCGGATCAAGACTGGCCGGCAGTTCTCGCCCTCGCGCATCACTTCGACGGCGTCGATGGCCGCGCCGCCGCATGCGCCCACGTTGCGGGCTGGGGGGGCACTGAAATCAATGCGCCCCCTCACGCTGCCCTCCTCGCAGGCGCGCGCCAGTCCTCTGCATTCGAACGCGGCGCTGACGGCCGTTAGCTGGTTGGTGGTGAGGCACTCGTGAAAGGCGTCGCCTGCGACGTTGCTCTCTCTCTCTCTCTCTCTCTCTCTCTCTTTCTCTCTCTCTCTCTCTCTCTCTCTCTCTCTCTCTCTCTCTCTCTCTCTCTCTATATATATATATATAATGATATACTGGGGCCCCCCACCGCAGACCACAATGGAGTCGGGCGCCGCTGCCCCCGCGGCCGCGACGGCGTCGACCGGGAAGATGCCAATGTTGAACTTGAGCGCCATGCTGCAGAGCCCTGTCAGAAAGGCGTCTGTTTCGTCGCCCCCTGAGTGGGCATATGAACGGCGCGTGCAACCGCCAATGCGCGCCGCGGGCCAGGTGCTGCGCCGGCGCAAGCGCCGGCGCTTCTGGGTCGCACGCGTCTTTCGACCTCGTTGTTCCCCGAGCATACACGCCGGCGCGGGAGGGAAACGGTCGCCCGAGGTCGCGGCCGTCGCGGGCGCTCGATAAGGCGCAGAAGCGATGCGCAGGTGCCGTCCCTCATGACAGTCGCGCCTCCTGCGAGCCGAAATAATCTGATGGTGGTTGATGGCCTCCATCCTGGTGGTCTTCCGTTGCCGGTCTCCACCGGCGCAGGCGGGCCCCGTGGAACTCCTCGCGCTGGAGGCGGCCGCCTCGATGTCAACGTTGGCGTTCTTGCTGCATTGGTCGTTCGGCGGTTTGAAGGGCTCAGGGAGAGACGCAGCTGAGGGTGGAGTCGCGGACTGCCCACAATTGGTCTGCCCGGGGGCCGCATTCTTTGACGCCTAATCGGAAAGGCGAAGCCACCGCCACTGCCGTTGGCGCTGCGCGCCGAATGCTGCCCACTCGGGCCCAAGCTTGGAAGCAGCCCGCGAAGTCTGTCGTTTGGCAACTGAGTCGGCCAACTCGTTCGATGGACGTCCATGCAGGACGCCGCGTCCTGCATGGGCGTGGACATGGTCGGCGCGCACGTTTGTTGGCGCTGCTGCGGGGTAGCGCGGCTGCTTTGCTAGCGCTGCTAGGTCGTGGCTGGCCCGCGCGATGCATCGCCCTGCGACAACTCACCATCGAGCCTCGATTTGGCATGCGCAGTGGCGGGCGCGCCAGCGCACGCGCCCGCCAACGCATGGATCCATGCGTGGCCCAGATCAACGCTGCCAACTCTGACCCGGTAGACGTCGCTTTGCCGTAGTCCGCGGTCGATGTCGCACTCAATGTTCGGGCTGCAATTGCGCCCGAGTAGGCTAAGCCGTCGTCGCCCTCCACGGCGATGGCCACTGCCCAAGCGCCCTTGGCCGAGTCTGCACGGCGCCCGCCGTCGGCGCGCAGGCGGAGTTGCCCGACAGCCCTGCGAGGGCGGCGGGGCTGACTCCAGGCCACGACGGCGGCTAGGCGAAACCTCTCGAGCCCATGCAAGCATGGGCAGCGCTTGATAAGTAGGGGTAGCGAGGTGCGTCGCTGGACATCGGCGATCGGTCCTGTCGCATTGCGCATGGATCGACCTACATCTCTTGCCCGCCGCCCGTTGGGTCGGCTTTCCTGCGGCGGCGGCTCGCGCAGAGCAGGCGTCGCACTCTGGTTG